GTTTTTTTTTTTTTTTTTTTTTCCTGACAGGGTCTTACTCTGTAGCCAGGCCGGCCTCAAACTCGCCATCTTTTCTCATCCTCCTGAGTGCAGGAATTACGGGTCTGTATTACCACTCCCAGTCAACAACTTACAATTGAATGATTAGTTTTTAAAGTGACTATATGCTGATATCTGAAAGACCCCTGGAGGCTCAGGCCCCTAGGATCTCAGCCCAGGGCCTTGGCCACTCTAATCACCAGGCAGTGACGAAAACTTGATGCAAACTGCACAAGGCTTTATTGTAGTTGTTTAACGAGCTAACCCCATGTTAGCTCGGGCCTTCCATTCATCCACCATGGTGGATGGCTAGGAAAGACGCTGAGAAGTGTCTGCATAGAGATCTTATAGGGCAGCGTAAGTGGCGTGTCTAGGGGTATGCACAGGCTCAGGATTGGTGTGCCTCCAGGCTTGGAGGGCTTGCCCTGTGTTGAGTGGTCAACTGGTTGTTATGGCCTATAGGCCCTCCCATGGTGGTTTCTATGCTCTGCAAGTCATTGCTGTGCACTTGTCTGTAAAGCACACCCAGAGCCGTACAGCATAGCACCACCAATTAACTTCTGATTGGTTCCTTGACACGAGGCAGGCATCTGACCTCCTAGTGACCAAGGCAAAGTCAGGACAAGCACATGTTACTGTCATGGCTTCTGAAATGGGGAGCTGGTCCCTTCAATGTCCACACTTAAGTTTTTGAGACAGCATCTTGTTCTACAGCCCAGGATAGCCTTGAACTCTTGATCTTCCTGCCCTGGTGTCTTGAGTGCTGGGCTCCCAGCCTGTCCTACCATACTTGGGTTGTTTATCTTTTGTGCTGATTTGGAATGTAACATTTAATGGACAGAGAACACCTTTAGTGGCGAATCATGCACTTTCTTGCAGAAACATGAATATAAAATTATTTAAGAAATACTGGCACTTTCTTGAAATTATTCAAGTAAGCCTATCAGGTTGGCTGGTGGAGAAGTGCCCAGGAGCTAGCTCAGATTCATGGTAACAGCATAAGTGTACCTCGGAGATGCATGGGGTTGGCTGGCATAGTCTTCATTATTTTACATGGATGTTCTTCCGAAGTCTTCTGAAAAGCTGACCATGTCCTGCAGCATTCTGGCTGTCTCATTTCTCAAAACTGTGCTGCTTGCCTCACTTTTATAGCTATGTGGGCTCATGACCCCTGCCCCACAGACCTGGCGCCTGATGATGGCATGGTGTCCTTCCTTATAGGAACAAAAAGATCAGTGTGGGGCTCCGGATACTTCTGGGGAGAGACCCTGTGGAATTCCTACTTCCTGGCTTCCATTCTCCGATACACCATTACCCTCGAAGGTACCTGGCTGGTGAACAGCGCTGCCCACATGTATGGAAAGCAGCCCTATGACAAGCTTAGCAGCCCTTGGCAGAACCCACTCGTCGGTCTGGGGGCCATTGGTGAGTGCAGTGTTGAGAGCCAGTGGGGGAATGGCAGTCCGGATGTTATTGACTTTGTGGGAGGGAAGGTTTTTATGGCTATAAGAAAGGGAGTGAAGGAGTGTAGAGAGATTGAACTTTGGTCTTGGCATCCTAGCTCTTCGATAAGTCAGGCAAGTTCTCTGCTTTACGGTTTTCTTATCTGTCAGACGGGAAATAGCAACATCTCCCTCGTAGAGCATACAAACTGCTCAGTGCCACGCTGGGGCATAGAAGACGATCAATAAATGGTTTAATAGTTACTTTCATCATGAAAATTTCCCTACAGAAGCAGCAATTGCTTTTCTCTCAAACAGTCCTAGCTATTCCAGACCTAGCTATCTAGTCATTTGCCAGGAAAAAAAAAAAAAAAGTCTTCAAACAGGCAATGCCAAGAGAGGAGGCTCATGGGACCACAAGTAGCTAAACTTAAGGCCAGTGTAGAGTCCAAGTTAGGTTACATCCTGGATCCTCCATTTGCTCTCTGGGCACTTTCTGGCTCCTCTCGATTTGTGTTCTTATGTGTAAGAAGAAAACAAATAGCCCTTCCCTCCTCCCTGGGCCGCTGGAGAGTGAGATGAGTTAATACATAGTGCTTGAGGAAGTGCTTAGCGTGAAACAGGCCTTCTGTGGCACCACTGCCTGTAGTGCCCGCTTTATGGTCTTAGGTGAGCTGCTTGTTCCTTCCATGCATTTCTGTCCTCATTTGAAAACAGGGATAATCATAGCAGTTTGCAGACCGCATGAGGGTAATAGGCGTTAACACTGAGCCCTCAGTGCTGTGCTCGGCGTGCAGTAAGTGACTCATAAATATTATTAGCTGCACCTCTCCAGACGCAGCTCCGGCTCTTTGGTAAAGCTGAGCATTAATCAGAGATCAAGCCAGGAAGGGAAGGTCTACCGCCCGCCCGGTAGGAACGGTTTCTTGTCACTTGGTGGTGAGTTACTGTTACCGTTTCATCAATCATCCAATTAAGATCTTGGGGATCCTAGGGTCTTGTGAAGTGTGTTGACAGCAGCAATATGAGGTGACATAATCACAAGAGCTCTAGCTGAGCAGTCACTAGGCATGAGGGGGAGGGGCTTTGACTACAGAAGGAATTTTTCCCCCTCTTCTGCTTTTTTTCCTCTCTCCTTGTATCTTGTATGGGCTAAAGCAGAAGAGCCACATCCAGTGTCAATACAGGGCATAAATAGAAGTGGGGACAGCATAGACTACTATGTCTTGCACAGGCACATGTGGGTCAGGCAACCAAACAGCATGGCTATGACACAGGTCCTAAAGAGCTGGACAATGGCTTTAAGTCTACTTAGACCAGCAGTGAAGGCCCAGGCACAAAGAAAAAAAAAACTGTAATTAACAATGAAAGATAAAGAGGAAAGGGGGGGCAGTATGAGTTGTCAGTAGTCCTTGTGTGAGTTTGCTCTCCATTCCTAATGTCCAAGAGGAAATGTATGCTTTTAAGAAACATGAATGTGCCGGATGGTGGTGGCGCACGCCTTTGATCCCAGCATTTGGGAGACAGAGGCAGGCAAATCTCTGTGAGTTGGAGACCTGCCTGGTCTACAGAGTGAGTTCCAGGACAGGCTCCAAAGCTACACAAAGAGATCCTATCTTGAAAAATAAAACAAACAAACAAACAGCCCCTCCACAAATGTTCTCAGCATTATTCATAGTTACTTAAAGGAGGAAAAGAGCCCAAATAATGATCAACTGACAGAGATGTGTATAATGCTATATACCCACTGAAAGGTGCAGGCATTATGCTGGCCTGCCCCTGTTACCTGGTGGAACAGGCAGTACCCTGGTCAGCCCAAGGTTCCATGGGAACTAAGTCTGCACGCAGGTGCAGAGGACCCCTTTAAAAAGACAAGTCCCTGCCCATTTATGCTCTATGTTCCCTCTGTGTTTCCCCACTCTGCTTTGTCTCTGCTTTCTCTCTACTCTGTCTCCCACCTATGCTCTCTCCGGCCATGGCAGTCAGCCATTTACCCCTGTTCCTCTTCTTAGTCTCCCCATTCTGCCGGGACTTATAATAAACTTATAGTCTTATGTCTCATGTCTCAGCATTTCTCCTTTTCTTCTTTTTAAACAAAAGAATAACACCCACATAATAAAATACTCTTCATCAAACAAAACAGGACTGGAGAAATGGCTCAGCTGGTAAAACTGCTTGGTGTGCACACAGACAACCCGAGTTCAATTCCTGGGACCCACAGCAAAAGGAGAGAACCGACTCCCTAAAGTTACCCTCTGACCTCTATATGGGTGCCCTGGCACATGTATGGCCCCATCTCTCTGCACCACACAAATACACAGTTATAAAATATCCATAGCTGGCCAAGGCAGTCAAATCCTTAAAGAGAAAATAGGGCCAGTGGGGGTTTATGGAGGTTGGGGGTACTAAGGAGTGTGGGAGGGTGTAGGAGGTGGGGTGGTTCTTGAGGAATACTGAAAATGGTTAACTCTAGGAAATATTAAAATCATTATATTAAATATTAAAATTAAATATTATATATTAAATCATTAAATATTATATATTTAATATATATATTTTATATTTATTATATATTTAATATATAATATATTTTATAAGATAGTTGGAGATATTCAGAGTCTTTCTGATTCTTCAGATTAGTCACAAAGACAGTAAGGTCTGTGTTTTGAATAGTGGAACATGGGGGTCTAAGGCCCCTTATTATTATATTATATTATAATAATATATTATATTATTATATATTATTATTATAATAATTAATATATAAATCATTAAATATTATATATTAAATCATTATATATATGTTAGAAGTGGGACTTCTGTGAATTATAACTGAATGAAGCCCTTTTTTAAAGGAAATGAACCTGATCAAGGGGAAATGAAAATTAAAATCAAAAGAATAGTGCTTCACTTTAGTTAGAATGACTTTTAAAAAAGATGAAGAGTTGCAGGACAAAGAACCCTTGCACACTGTAGGGAAGACTCTGCTTTTCCTTCTTCCTCCCTCCCTCTCTCCTTCCCACCCTCCCTCCCTCCCTTTTTCTCTCTCTCTTTCTCTCCCCCTCTCCCTTTCTTCTTTCTTCCATTATTTCTTCCCTCCTCCTTCTTCTATAAACGAGTTTACTCATTGTGGAAAACAATATGAACTTTTTTTAAAAAAGTTAAAAAACAGAGTTACCATATGATTAAGCAAGCCTGTAAGTGTGTGTATCCTAAGAAAGTAAAATGGTTGCTGAAGAGACATCTACACTCCTATGTTTACTGTAGTGTTATTGGCAACAGCAAGATACTGAGTGGATGTTGACCAATGGAGGGTTGCCAAAGACAATATGCTACATGTGAGTGGGTAATACACAGTGTTCTTCAACCTTAATGAAGAAGGGCGCCCTGTCATCCACAGTGAACTTGAAGCCTGTAACACAGGGAAGTGCACCAGGCACAGAAAGACAAGCACTGCAGCATCTTAAGTTGAACTTTAAACAATGGAACTCAAAGAAGCAGGGAGCAAAAGAGGGTCACTGGAGGATGTAGGGAGGGTGAGAGGTATTGGATCACACACACACACACACACACACACACACACACACACACAATTCCCATCAAGGAAAAAAAACCATTAAAAAGTTCTGTTGTATAATATGGTGATTATAGGTGTCAACAGTGTATTGTGTTCTTAAAATTGTTAGTAGTTTTTTTTTTTGTTTCTACCACAAAAACTAAGTATAGAGGGAATGTATAAGTTAATTAGCTCGGTTTCATCATTCTACAATGCCTATGCTCAACAATTCAACACGTGTTGCTATATGTGATACATATATTTTTGTTATTTAAAAAAAAAGCAGAAGAAAGACAAAGAAAATCAAATGAGTGAAGCTCTCGGGTCTCTCAAGAAGATGACTCTGGGAATTGTACAGAGGAAAACAACTCAGCAGGAGACTAGAATAATGTTCAGTAGAGCGAACATTTAAAGGCCGGGCTCTTCTTTAATTCACTCACCTGTCTGAACATTTCATTTCCCCTACCCAAGCTTGAAAGCAGTCTTCCTGTAATCACTCCTGCCCACACAGGCTACTTTCCTTTTATGAACACATGTCAAAATAATGACCTATTGTCAGCCTGGTAGCATTTTCCTTGAGAAGGGCAGCCCCAAGGGAGCAGCATCCTGTCCACCATACACACTGGAAAACTCATCTTGTGGTGCTGAACAACTGAGGTTATTTTCTGTTTAACTGAACCTGTCTAGCAACTCAGTGAGTTTCCAAGGGCTGGAGCCAAGTCCTTTGCCAAACTTGCAGTCTGAAAAAGCCTTAAACAAGGTAGAGCCTAAACACTGATAAAACTTCTATGCAGGCAACCATGTTTATTGCTGCTCAGTTAGCAACATGCAGGAAAACAGAACCAGTCTCGATGTCCATTAACAGATGGATAAAAAATGTGATCCATATACACAGTGGGATTTCATGCATCAGCAAGGTGAAGGGAACTCAAGACAGTCACAGGAAAATGGTTGGAACCAAACGTTATGATAAGCAAAATAAGCTATACTTAGAAAGACAGGTGTCACATACTTTATTTTATATGTAGAACCTAGTTTTAAAATAATATGTATTCACAGATGTGTGTTTATGTACATGTCACTCATAAAACTAGAAAGGGGATCATTAGAGGAGGGGAGATTTTAAGGGAAAGAGGGAGAGAGGGAGGGAGGGAGGTAAAGGAGTAGGCAATAGAGGACATTCAATAAGAAAGCAAAGAGGGACTGACTAACTGGGGAAGGGGGGACCAGCTGGAGCAAGGCAGAGTGAGGGAGGGGAACAATGAGAATTCAATAATGACACATATGTATGAAGATGTTATAATGAAACCCATTACTTTGTATCCCAATCTAAAACATGAACTAAACACAAAAACTAACCACATCCATTCAGGGAGGTGGCAGTGGTGTGACTTCAAGGCACACTTTGTCTTCCAGGTGAAGGCTTCTACAATTTCTACCACACATTTCCCTTTGACTACTCTGTGAGTGAATTTGGTTGAATTTCAACCCAACTACCTGGTTCATGGATTTCATGTGCTTCCTGGGACTGGCTACTGACCCCAAATGGGCCACCAAGCAGATGATCGAGGCCTGCAAAGATAAAACAGGAGATGGTAGTGCCTGAAGCCTTCCATGTGACTACCATGACAACCAGCTAGCAGATTTTATCTATACAGTTTTCTTGTTCGTTGTCTTGTAGGAAGAGGAAAAGGTGGGGAGGGCATGCAATATATGTGATCTGGGAAATTTTGTCTCAAGTTGTGTCAACTACAACTCTCAATGAAAAAAATAAGTCAACATTAAAACTATGATTCAATATTAGGATATGGGTGTGTGACTCGGTTACTGAAGCTATGTCAGCAAACTTACATTGTTATGTATATGTGCTAAAACATGGTAACTGGGACAGGATGGACATGGAATTGTTTTGGTGTGACCCAGGAGAGTGTTTCTTTTCCTTCTCACCCATGAACACAGCATTGCTTCAAATCACACTGTCTTGAAGGAGCAGAGAGGCAGGGTGAAACTTCATCTGTGACAGCCATACTCCTGCCTTGCAATTACCATATTGTGTACAGTTAAAAAGTTTTAAAAAATGAAGATGTAGAAAATGGTTCTTGAAGTTGGGCATGGTGGCACACACCTTTAATTCCAACACTTGGGAGTCAGAGGCAGGCGGATCTCTGTGAGTTCCAGGCTAGAACAGCCAGGACTGTTACACAGAGAAACCCTGTCTTGAAAAACAAAAAGAAAGAAAAGAAAAAAAAGGAAAGGAAAGGAAGAAAATGGCTCTGTGTTATTCCCACCCTGTTATAACTTGCTGACCCTTCCATTGTCTTTGCTTTAAGAGAGACTGTGTTTGGGACTGGTGAAGTAGCTCGGTGGGTAAGAGGGTAAGAGCACTTGCTGAGTTTGATCCTTGGGATCCTCACGGTGAAAGGAGAGAACTGAATCCTACAAATTGTCCTCTGACCTCCACATATACAACATGCTACAGACACATGTGAGTGCATATGTGAACCTTCGCACCTGCATGTGCGCGGGCGCAGACACAACCACTTGTGTGTGCACACGGTAAATAAATAGAACCTTAAAATGTTTTAGAAAGGGATGTAGTCACTGCTCAGCCCACCCTATAAATCAATGCCTATTTGGATGTTTGACTTCCTTTTTGCTGTTGCCATTTTAAAGGTGTATAACTCAGACAAGCCAGACATCAAATTAAACACAAATTAAGCTTTCATTTTAATGTTTATACACCTAATTTGTGTTCTAATTGATCTCAGCCACTGGTGCATGCTACTTTAGCTACTGCTCCTAGAGAAGTGCATTAATTTTCCACACCAGGTCATCACCACTTAATAACCAACAGTTTCATCTAGAACTCTGTGTCTACTAATGTGTCATGTGCATGTGGCCACCATTGATTTTGCAGCAAAATATAAAGTGATCATTTTGCAGCTTCTAGATTAGAACAATTTTATATGTTAATTTACCTTGTAAAGAGCATGTTAAATCAATAGGACAACCTGCCTGTTGTGTTAGATGTGAGGGTGGAGGAAGGCCTCCGTCATGTTGGCTGTCAGCGTAGGTTCAAGATTACTTCAGGAAAGATATGAGGTTTAAAATTTATTTTTAGAAAAGGGCAAGTCACCAATTAGGAACTATCTTGGTGAAGTTCTTCATCTAGCAAGTGTTATTTGGCCATTAGTAATGTGCACACCGTAAACAATGTACAGTAAATGATTATTAACTCACTTGTGTTCTTGTCTGGATATTTCCATGTTATTTCAGGAATGTTCTGAGCTCTGGGTGGTTGGTGATCACTTAACATTTGACAAACGCTACATTGCCAAAGGCCTTGAGGCTCAGAATTGCCCATTCCATCTGCCCTTGGCACAGCCAGCAGGGAAAGTCAGCATGTCTGTGGAAATGGGGACTGCCCAGTGGTGACATTGCCCACTTCTTACCTAGCAACACCAGCACTTACTCTATTTTTAGCTAATCAGTGGGAACCTGATCCCACCTGTCACCAAGAAGAACATGATGGACATGCTCCAAGCTCTACCAATGGGGACCAGAAGTAAGAGGAAGGGATTCATACTCTCAACCCCAGTCCTTAGTCATCGACTCTCTATCTTGTCCCCAGATACAAGCCCCTGACATCAGACATAGATTTTTTTAGCCTGCAGTTGAGTGGATTCCAGTCACCCTCGGGGTACCAGACCAGGTCTCACCATGTCTGGATCTACCCATGGATCTACCCATGGCATTTTTCAGGTGTTTCCCATTGTAGTCCCACAGTGCTAAAATGTTGTATGGCATTTACTTGTATTCCAAGATGAGTCTGTATGAGTATGCCTTGGTGAGGGATGTTTTGGGGGAATCTTTGATCCCTCAAATAGTAAATGGACTTGTCCATTAACCGAACAGTGTTACATTTGGAACAGCTATTTGGAATCTCACCTCACCATAGGAGGTTATTCCCCTACTGGTCGAACTAAACCTAGAGGCCCACACCTCTGCACCTGACTGCATCTCCATAGAACCTGTGAATGCCCCTGGACTGGCAGGGGTTGGGGAAAGAATTGGACAAAAGTTAGATCACCATAATGTCATCAGTATTGACATTCTCAACCCTACCAAAGACAGCCCTAAAGAGCTTGCCACAGATTTTGAAGGTGTCTGTCCAAGGCAGAGAACTAGTCTCCCATGTCTTCTCTTTAACCTCCCAGCCCTACAAGGTTTGCTGCAGGAGTGCCCATTTCTAAATCTAGTCAGAAGGAGCCAAGGGAAGAAGCTCCAGTAGTGTATGTCCCAGGTGCCATGGTGACTACACGGAGTCAGCCTGGGATGGTGGAGCTATCAATGCACTTCATATCCCCCATTCTACTGCCCACCAGCTGTGGGCTTTAGAAAAACCCACCTGTCTGATCTACTTAATTCCCTTATCTGCAGAAGAGGGAATTAAGCCAGGTTCTGTCTAAGGGCCACTCAGCCTTAAGATTCATAACAGGAATAGAGATGAGAATATACCTGATTTTTCAAGGTAGTGACTGATCCTTTCTGGAACCTGGATGGTTAAAACTAAGTGAAAAATAGTTGCATGTTCTTGGGAGGACACAGGCTGAGGCTGAAGAAATAGAGTGTGCTTGGCGGAGAAATGAATCTGTCTTTCATTCATTCCCCAAACGTGATGAAGCAATAGTACCCTGCCAAGAAAAACTACCTGATGAGCAAAGCACCACAGGCTGTCCTGCCACAGTTCTGGATGCCATGTGGAGCCTAGGAGACATCAGCACAGGGTGAGTGGCACACACTGCCAATAAGGTGTAGAATTGGGGGCTATAGAAGCCTCCAGGCCTAATTTTGGTGTTCACTAGTTGTAATCTGTCATTCTAGAACTTTCTCTGTTTGAAGAAGCCTCAGTATTGAAGAGCAATCGTGAGTGTTGGTTCGTTTTCACCTCAGTGACAAAACACATGAGTAAACAGCTTAAACGAGCAGTTTTTATTTTGACTCACTGGCAGAACACCAGCAAGAGGCAGGGACAGAGTTGAGACAGGAAGAGCTCTGTAAGGGTACCTGCATCAAAGGCATGTCCCCAGGGACCTACATCCCCCAACCAGGCCCCACCTCCTCATTTGCATAATCCATCAATTTCTGAACCCACTGAGGAGGTGGAGGAAGCCTTGTGGTCCATTCACTTTCCCCAAACCCACTGGCCACCAAACCTTTACCACATGAGCCTTTGGGGTACACTTCACCCCCAAACCATAACACTTTGTCACCCAGCATAGTCTTTCCTCTGGTTCCTCCTTGCCATCGCATTGTTCCTATGCCAGGGTTTAGTTGGGAGCTAGGACACAAGATTGATGAGGAGGAGCTCAAAGCTCATAGATATGATAGCTTTGGGGTTACTTGTGTGAGGTTCTCGTCTTTATTTCAGTCCTGTCCCCAAACACAGGGACACTGAAGTGTAGTTGTGTGCCCATTGGCTAATGATGGAAAAAACGAAGAAGGAAACACACATCCCACTCTGACCTCTGTGATCCTTTGTTTAAGTTTCCGAATTTCCAGGAGTCAGTCAAACTCCTTTCCTCTACGTCACGGAAGTGCTATAAATGAACTGGAACCTTCTGTCCACTTCTCCTTTGCCATTCCCCTGCAGATCTCCATGCCGGAGGCCCCACCCCACCCCTACCCGTGGGAATATTCCTGACTTGTAAATTTGCAACATCAGAAGCAAGAGGAAGGAAGCTCTGGTCTCAGGCACCTGTGAACACAGCAAACCTGGCAGGGAAGCAACGTGGCTCTGCTGCAGCCTGAATTCAGCCTTCTTTCTTCCTCTTGCCCACCACAGTGTCTCTGGCCCCATGTGTGGAAGGGCAGCCAGTCATATCTTGATGGTGACTGTCTCACAGAATTCTGAAGTTCTCAGGAAGGCCTTGACCTGAGAAGAGGCACTTCCCAGCCCCTGATCTGTGTTTCTGAGGAAGCAAGCCTTAGGCTACTTATCCGTATCATTCACAACTTGGGGGTCTATCTTGCAGTTCCCACCCTTCTATTTTCTCTCCTGTATGAGAGAGCATGAAAATGTCAGAAGTTGTTTCTCTGCCAACAGGCCTATGCCATCCATGGATAAAGCAACTTGAATGAGGTATACTTACTGAGTTTTAGGTTCTGGGGAAACCATGTGAAGACGGTGTGGTCTCCCTGCTGAGGTGAAGGAACAGGAAAGCCTCATGTCAGCTCTTTGGCTCTGCAATTGCTATGCAGCAATTGCATACAAATGAAAGAACAGCTCCCTTCACTTCCCCGCCTGGGAACTAAAGGGCACTTAGGCTTCTGGCATCTCAAAGTGCTTCTTCCAGAGCTGCCAAGCAGTGAGTGCATCCATTTGCACGGTTCTCTGCAGTTCCTGCTACTGAGCAACTTGTAACAGGGTCAAAATCCTGAGGGTAAGGGTCTTAGACTATACATTTTCATACAGCTAACCATACACCGGGAAGGAGCAGTCTCGGCATGGATGGTTTGTTCTGTATGATTTCAAGGCACGATTTAAAAAGTGAGGGCCTTGATTGTTGCTTCTATATGCTTTGATATGGTTTTGTTTGTAGTTCA